GGGATTGGGATGTGGGGATTGGGATGGGAAGGACTGGAGGGTTCGGGACTGGGATGTGGGGATTGGGATATTCGGGACTGGGCTGTGCTGGACTGGGATGTGGGGACTGGAATGTGCCGAAATGGAATGCAGGGATTGGGATGTGCTGGACTGGGATGTGCTGGATTGGGGTGTGAGGGACTGGAATGTGCTGGAATTGGATTTTCAGGACTGGGATGTGGGGCCGGGGATGTGAGGGCTGGGATGTGCTGGAAGGGGGTGTTTGGGACTGGGATATTCAGGACTGGGATATTCAGGACTGGAACAGGCCCTGCCGGATTGGGATGTGCTGGAATGGGGTATTTGGGACTGGGATAATCAGGACTGGGATATTTGGGACTGGGATATTCAGGACTGGGATATTTGGGACTGGGATATTCAGGACTGGGATATTCGGACCCGGAACAGGCCCTGCCGGATTGGGATGTGCTGGAATGGGGTATTTGGGACTGGGATATTCAGGACTGGGATATTTGGGACTGGGATATTCAGGACTGGGATATTCAGACCCGGAACAGGCCCTGCCGGATTGGGATGTGCTGGAATGGGATGTGGGCACTGGGATGGAGCCACAATTCCCACCCTTCCCAGGACCCTCCCCCCCATCCCAGCCCCGACCCCTCCCCAGCTGTGACCCAGAGGCTGATTTATCCCCCATTTTATGTCCCTCTTAATTAGATAATTAATCTTTATTGGATCCTTTCCTTTTTTATGGCTCTTCCCCCCCTCCCCTTCCTTCCCCTTCTCCAGGCCCAATTCCCACCTCTCCCGGTCCAACATTCCAGCTGCTCCTTTCATTCCCTGATGGAGCTAAAAAAAGGAAGGGGGAATAAACAAACAAACAAATAAATTAATAAATAAACATCTAAAAATCCTCTTGGACAAATAATTTTTCCTTTTTTCTTTTCTGTTTGTTTTTTTTTTTCCTTTTCCTTTCCCTTTTTTCTTTTCCTTTCCCTTTTTTCTTTTCCCTTTTTTCCTTTTCCTTTCCCTTTTGCCCTTTCCCTTTTTTCTTTTCCCTTTTTTCCCTTCCCTTTTTACCTTTTTTCCCTTTCCCTTTTTTTCCTTTTTCTCCCCCTTTTTTTCCCTTTTCTCCCCCTTTTTTCCCCTCCCCTTTCCTTCCTCTCCGTTTCTTTTCCTCCCCTCTTTTCTCCCCTCTCTCTTTCCCTCTTCCTCCCCCTCTCTAGAAAACACCGGGAAAAACTCCATTTTTGGGTTCTCCCCCTTCCCCTCTTTCCCTTCTGCCGGGTTGGGCCGAGCCAGGAAATCCCATTTTTATGGGACACTTCCCAAATATCCCAAACAGGCGCCCTTTGCCCCCCACCCCCCCCAAGCTCTGACCCAATTTTGATTGGAAAACAATGAAAATCCAGCTAAAAAACCACCCAATAAAATCCATAAATAAGGGCCGGGATTCTCCTCACGGAGCCATCCCCACTTCCCAGGAATATCCCCCTCCCTTCCCACTAATGAGGGAGTTAATTGGCATTAAAATGGTTCATTTACATTTTTTGAATATTCGAGGCCTCATTAAATTTGGGAGGACCCCCCCCAAAAAAACCCTTGGGAATTCCCAACGACATCCCGAATTCCTCTTTTATCCCCTCCCCTCGCCCTTTCCCCCCCGGTTTTCCCAGGAAAACCCCTCCCTCCTTTCAGCATCGAGGTTTTGCTCCCTCCCCTCCCCACCCCGGGGCCGCCCCGGCCCCGCTCGAACGTTTCCACCCTCGGATCCCGCCATTGATTTCCTGGAAAAGCCGCTGGAATTCATTAGGATGGAGCTGCTCCCCCTCGTCTCCCATCTGTTTGTGTCCCGCGGAGCCAAACAGAGCAAAAAAAAAAGGGATTTGATTAATAATTCCCGGGCTCCGGCGCCTGCGGCTCCCTCCGGGGGCAGGCGGGGCCGGGAAAGAGGGGAAAAGTGGGAAAGTGGGAAAGAGGGGGGAAAGTGGGAAAGAGGGGAAAAAGTGGGAAAGAGGGGGGAAAGTGGGAAAGAGGGGA